GATTTGTTTTTACTCTTGAGGTCATTTGAGGATCTGTTCCTCAGGGGTCCCATGGGCTTGGGAGGAGCCCCTGGCTCCTTTCTTTTACCAGTTCCATCTATGTGAAGATAAGTCAAAGGTCCTACTCGACCATTGTTGGCTTCCCTTGGAAGGATGGAGAAAATGATTCCTCCGTGTTGACCCTCCTCTTTATAGACTGGACACTGGTTCAAGTCCATCTGGTGGGGTCTCCTTGGCCTCCTTGATCAAGAGGTCAGATGACCCACCACCTTTACAGGACGTTTTGCGAGATGCTCATAGTCCCTGGGAACTAATCGACCTAGGAGGGCAAGGAGCAAAAAGCATCCTTTGTGTCCCTCTGACCCAATTAGTATAGATCTCAAGGTATGTCTGTTAAACATCCAAGAAGGTTAGTTCCACCATTCTGGCATTTTTGATTACTGTGTGTCATGCAGATAAGTCTTGAGTAATGACCAGTTGATCTCAAATAAACCTTTTCTAGAGATATTTTTCTTGGTCTGTTATATATAATTAGTCAGTAGATTATAGGAATAATATGGTTCCCTCTGGTTTTCGTGACTAGCTAGGCATTGTTTCTCTATTGTATCATCTCCCCCCTCTATCATGGTTTTCCCACTTAAGGTGCCCCCACTTCCCCCTCTTTCTTCCTTAATAATACCCTTGCTCCTATGATCCTACCTCTGTTGAACTGCTTCTTTCTCCTTATCCCCTAGGTTACTCATATACCCTTCCCTCCCCCCCTCCCTTAATCTAACCCAATTTTTATCCATATCTCCCTTCTTAAGGTCTGTTGCCTACTATTCTTCTCCTTCAGGTTATTTCTTTTCCTTTACCTCACTGTTTCCTTACCCTTGTCCTGGTTCCTGCAGTTATGTCTGTTTGCATACTTATTTATCAGAGTCTGATCCTAGGATCCACAAATGAGAGAGAACATACATTGGTTTTTTATGTGAGTCTGTGATACTTCACTTAACATAACAGTTTCTAGTTTCATCCATTTACCTACAAATTTCGTTTTTCTTTAACACTGGGTAGAACACCATTGTATAATTGTATCACATTTTCATTATTCGTTCATCAGTTGAGGGACATTTAAGTTGTTTCCAATTCTCAACTATAGTGATAAGAGCAGCAACAAATCTGGTTTTGCAAGTATCTCTGTAGTAGAATGGGTCCTTTGGGTATATGCCAAGGAGTGGTATGACTGGATCATATGATAGATTTATTTTTAAGTTTTTTTTTCTTTTGTTTTGGTCTTTTTGAGCTGTAGCCCCAGCTGTCCTGGAGCTCACTATGTAGACCAGGCTGGCTTTGAACTCACAGAGATCTGCCTGCCTCTGCCTCCCAAGT